TAACTTTATATTCATATCAAGCCATCGTAGCAAAGGGCGGAAAATATTCTGGAGGAAAAGAAAAGAAATTTCGACAAATGAAAACAAAAAATAAATAAATTGAGATATGAAAGAATTATTATGACCCATAAGGTAAAGCTACTATGTTGATTGATACTCATTATTCCATATATTTCGCCATAAGAAAAATACAACTTATCGGATTTTCTCTCAATTTTCTTTTTTTTTTAAATTCTTTTGTTGGATTTTATGCCTCTGAATTTAATAGTGAGAACTGAGAAAGGAGTCCGTTTTTTCCACGCCGAAGCACATCAAGTGATGCTTGTCAATTTGGGCTTTCTTTTGACATTTTACCTAACTCCTCAAGAGTCTCTTCTGAGCTCAACTTGTATTAATGAGGTCCTTGCTGGCCTTTAGCTACCAAGCAATTTAAGAAATAAAAAAGTCTAATATAATATTTATAGTATAGTATATAGTATGATACATTCCTCTCCCGTCATCATGTTGATCATCTTAACCAAATTCTACGATGTGACACTATTACTCCAAATCGATGCATTCGTGCTACGAGTGAACATGATTTCAGGGTAGGACCTAAAACCCGATAACCTAACCGATGGGAACCTGTAGGTTCCAGGGTAAGTTTCGGGTTCCAAAAGTTAAGTAACCTATTTCGACGGGTAAGTTTCAGGTTTTAGATAGAGAAAACTTAGAACTTGGAACCTTAAATCTTAAACATATTTTTTTGTATTTTTTTTTCGTCTATATCTTTGAATGATCATGCGGTGTTCCACGGGGTTAAATGATGAGTGTATAATCTGAAACCACTAATCTGAGCTTTCATTTTATGACTTGTTAATATTTCATATTCTTCGTGTGTCTAAATATAAGTTGTGATCAGTAGATCGAAACAGCAAGTGGTGGTCATTAAAGGCGATGATTCACTGCAATTGTTTAATTAACAATACAGGTGAAACCTGGGTAGATCTTGGAATCGACCCTGGAACCTGTGAATGGATAGGTTCTAGGTTCCATGATATGTAAAGTAGGTTCCAAGTTTCAAAAAATGAAGAACTTGTTCTTATGGGTAGATTTCAGGCTCCCGGTGGAACCTGTACATAACCTGGATGTACAGAATCTGGAACCGCTCACCGCTAATTTGTTCCATAAATACCTCAAACTAAATTAATCAGTACACTCGTGTCACATTTATTCCAAACTAATGTATCCGTGCGACACTTATTCTACAAAAAAATTCAGATTTACTGCAATTTCATATGCAGGTGTATCGGTTTGAGGTAAACGTGATACGAATGTATCGATTTATGAGTTTTTGTAACGCAAAATTGAATTGAGCAAATATAGCGTGGATATATCAGTTTTGCGTTTTTGGTGGTATCGAACCGATATTCAATTGTACCGATGATGCAAACAAGGAAGCACATTCAAAGGTCTTTAGTCAAGTATTACTTGCGTGACTTTAGTTAGTGTGTGTGTGTGTTTTCTTCTTTAATCATCAGAAGAAAAATAGTTAATGCAATTTTCTGCACGTGCTCCCAAACTCGATGAAACGAGCGACACATTGGCCAACCAATGAGGCCAAAAGAGCCAATACAGTCACTAATAAAAGCTAATGAGTAGGCTTTGTCTGACTTTTTCAGAGCAGTGGGGGAGACTTCACATGTGGCACAGGACGGAGCTCGGTTCGCGCTCACCAACTTCCCCGGGGTAGGGTTGGGGGGGGCTTGACTCAACTGCATCGCGGGTGCATTATGTTGACCGATCCCGTCCCCTGGAGATGGACGGCCGAGATCCGCCGAATGGGGTGCATCGCGGGTGCATTATGTTGACCGATCCCGTCCCCTGGAGATGGACGGCCGAGATCCGCCGAATGGGGGGGTTGGTGGGGCCCACACACCACGGGACCCGGACCGAATTGGTAAGGCCCATAAATGATGCGGTCAAATTTGGTTGCCCCGACGGAGGGACAAATAATGATTGTTAATGGCGGACCAACACCAACGGCTATCTAATGCCCACATTGCGCGTGGGATGAAAGATATTTTCCTTCCCCCTTTTCTCGTGTCGAAATCAGTAAAGGTCATTCCGTTTTCTGAGTCCGACTAACTGGCGACGTTTCTGCTCGTATTTGATAATCGAACTTAACGTAAATTGCCTCGGTCGTGTCCGCCGCCCGTACGTGCGGTCTTTAACTAGGTCCGCCACAAGAATGCTCGAGGGAGTTGGTCCCCACGACGCCTTGTAAGAGACCCCCCCCCCCCCCGGTGAACTCGTGCATAAACAGCTGGTATAATCAGGTGGGCTTCCTAACTTGGATCTGACGACCTGTTTCAGGTTGTTTGTTGAGGTTCTCTCCAGGTTCTCATCTCAGTTTAGGCATTTTGGATCGAGGCACGTCATCTTGAGGGACAAGAGATGGACGCATATGCATTTACAAGTGATGTACTGACCTGACTCTCTCTTTCAATCGAGTTCAATCGTTTGCTGACACGTGTTAAGAGAAAACAAATTGATTGAATCACAATCCTAACGTGGATCTCGTGTTGTCATCATCACAATTGTTTCGACGATGGGCTATGATGTGTCGTGGCACCAATCTCGATGGAACAAACAAGAGTTTCGCCAATGTCACCTTCGACACAAAATTATGGGGAAAATTATCCAAAAAATCATAAACCTATTGTACTTTTACCAATTCAGTTCTAAACCTTTTAAGTCTGTCAATTCAGTCTTAAACCTTTTCACTTCTTGCCAATTGAGTCCATCCAGCCAACTTTGGCCAGCCAACGCTGACATGGCAATTTTTAAATATTTTTTTTGAATTTTTTAATATATTTTTATTTTTTTCTGCCTTCTTCCCTCTAGCCAGTCCAGCGATCGGCAACCGGCTAGAGGCGCAGATCGGCGAGGTCGACCTCGCCTTGGCTCCCGCCTCTGGCCGGTCGCTAGAGGGAAGAAGACAAAAAAAAAAAGAAAAAAATATTAAAAAATTCGAAAAAAAAATATTTAAAAATTGCCATGTCAGCGTTGGCCGGATAGTCGGCGTCGGCAAGCGGCCACGTCAATGTCAGCTGACCAAAATTGGTCGGATGGACTTAATTGGCAAGACGTGAAGGTTTAGGACTAAATTAGCAAACTTAAAAGATTTAGGGTTGAATTGGCAAAAATGCAATGGGTTTAGGACTTTTTGGATAATTTTCTCGAAAATTATGCTGTAGTGGACTCACACAATTTCATCAGATATCAATGGTTGCGATTGATCCTCGATGGACCGGTTTTCCCATGAATTTTCCGGGTCGCGCGCTAATTATACACAAAAATGCACTCCATTGACAAAAGAGCGCATCTCTCGGGTTAATAATCAGACGGCAGTGGGTTTTCAAAAGCAAAATTCAAAAGCAACGGCCAATAGGGAAAAAAAAAAAAAAGGTTGCCCGTCCACGTCAGCGGATCACACGGGGTGGGGCCCGCGGGCAAAAGAGGCTTTTGGCTTCGCTGTCCGAGCAACCATGGATTCCAATTCCATGATTTTTAAGAACGACCCGCCTGTCGTTGTTTGATCTGGCACTGACACATTCTTGTTCATGGTTTTTACTCTCCCCTTTTATTTTCTGAAATATTGCTCTTTAACTTGCAGGAGTTCATATGAGCCATGGCCTCATGGCCAACCCAAATCAAAACAAGAACATATTAATTTCAATCGAAGATTAAAGTATTATCTAGTTTCTGAGACGGGTCGAATCGCACGAACATTCAAGATGAAACCATAATTATAAATATAGCCGGTTGCTCCGAAATTTTTCGAGATGTTTATAATCTTAAAATTGGGGATGTTGACGCGTATTCTTTTCATATTCGTGATTGATTTCTACGGATATTTGTAAGGATCTTTAAAATCTATTAAAGTATTATCAAGTTTTTGAGACAGGCCGAATCGCACAAACATTCGAGATGAAACCACAATCATAAATATAGCCGGTTGCTCTGAAATTTTTCGAGATGTTTATAATCTTAAACTTGGGGATGTTGACGCGCGTTCTTTTCATATTCGTGATTGATTTCTACAGATATTTGTAAAGGCGCTGTCTTTAATAATTCTCTTTGGAATATTAAAAGGAAAAAAAGTGTGCTAAAGAACCGTCCTAGGTATCTATATAAATATGTTATGATAGAATTTTCCCTATTAGCATCCTTAACAAGTGCCGCTTACACTTCTAATTTGTAAGATGTTAGTTATTCTCCTCACAACGAGTAGTTTCCTTTCAATTTAGGATTCTTCTTTCTTCGAGATGGTTATCTCATTTAATAAATACCATCTGTTTAATGAGCTTCAGTGCTTTCTCGTTTATGTATAAGTTCATCCGGTACTTAATAAAATTCTATATTAAAACTTGCCACATTAATCGAAATTTCAAAAGAATCTAAAAGTCATACAAGTTCTATCAACGCGTTCCTAGAAATATACGTAATTTTATAATTGCTATAATAAAAATCTATACTCACGCAATTGGAATATGTAGTTTTACACGTCCTCCTTATTTCGGGTACTTACAATTTAGCATTCTTACAAGTCATCAGGTTAAAAATCGCATTAACTTGTCCAGACATATCAAAATCAAATGATTTCTCCAAGTGGAAATCAGATTTGCACAGGCCTCGTCTGTCCAATTTTTTTTTTTTCTTTTGGAATTTTATAATGCAATTTTACTCTGTCGAAAATTATTTTAAAAATCATTTCTCGGACCAAACACGCATCGTCACATGCGCCTCTACCCGCCCGCGCACACATCACGTGATGGCAGTTCCCGTAATTCGCCGGGAGAAGCGGAGGGCAAAGAGGGGAATCGCCCGCCCGAACATCTGGCGCTCGGCGCATGAGTCAAGAAGTCGCATCTTCGTCCCGTTCGCGGATGCCCGGGGGGCGTCGCTAATATCTATATATACCGTCCCTCCACTCCTACATGGGAGCCATCACCCACCACCATTCTCTCTCTACCTCTGCCTCCCCCTCTCTCTCTCTCTCTAGCTCGCGCTCTCTGAGGAGGAGGTAGAAGGGCTCGCGGTCGAAGAGAGGTAGCGTCGTCGTCGTCGTCGTCCGTCGTTGCGGCTTCGTCTCGATCAAAGCTCGGAGAGATGGCAAAGAACGTCGGAATCCTCGCCGTCGACATCTACTTCCCCCCTACCTGCGTCCAACAGGTCTCCCTCTCTCTCTGTCTCTCTGTCTCTCTGTCTCTCTCTCTGTCTCTGTGCGTGCGAGCGAGCGAGCGAGCGAGCTTGTGTCGCGGTTCGGAATTTTGGCCGTGTCGGAATGGGGAGGAGGAGGCCGAGGGGTTTCGAGCGTCCGAGCTCGAGAGGATTGTCGATTGGTTTGGAGCCTAGGCTGTCCTCGGCGAACGATTCCCTGTCTTTGGATGTTTGCGAGCGCGAAACGGAAGGATTCCTTTTCTGATCATTAATATCTCTCTTTTTGTCGCTCTCTTTTTCTCCCGGAAGATTTGATTGTGGAGTTTTTGTTTTTCTGGTTTTTGGCGGATTCGGATGGTTTTGTTTCGGTTCCGGGACGCGAGATGCGTGCAATGATTGTGGCTGTCTCGTACTTGATCCGTGTTTTTTTCCGGTAATAATTGCTTCATTGGTCTTTGGAGTGCTAGCTCAAGGTACTGTCGAGCCTGTGTCTGTGTCACCGAATTAGATGATTTTTTAGTTTGCTATCGCGTGGATCATTTCGGGGTCTGGATCTGCGTAGAAGTGAGGTTGTGCATGTACGTAGATTAGGCTCTGGCTCGAGTTTCATATTCTGCTGTGTATCTTTGTGACGCGTTTGAATTGATTTCTCAAATTTCTATGCGGAAACTGTGGGGGTGATTATGGTGAAACGAAGAAAAATGGAACGGATGCTTCCGATAGTAGATTTCACGAAGAAGCTGACAGGTCTTAAACTAGTTCCGTTCTAAGAAAAATTGTCGCACATTTACTTCTGCACCATTTTTTTTTTTTGTGATTAAAGTGGATATAGGATTTACTGGCTTGATCTTGGACTTGTTGTGTGCAATCGAGGTGAAAAGGCGAGGAGCAAACTCAATTTTAAGCAACTGTATAGACTGTGAACTGTGAAGTGAATCCTCATGTACATTTGCTTTTGTGGCTGCTGCTGTTTTGTTTATGTATCGCCTAATTCTCGCTTCATTAACACTATTAGTTTCCTAGTACAAGGTTGATACAGCAGAATCTGAAATTCTGTCTCTCATTTTTTTTTGGCATTTGTAGGAAGCAATGGAAGCACATGATGGTGCAAGCAAGGGAAAATATACTATTGGACTTGGACAAGATTGTATGGGATTTTGTACCGAAGTCGAAGATGTCATCTCAATGAGGTTAAATTTCTATAATCCGTTCACTAATATGTCGTTCTTTTGTTCCCCTGTACACCTTCTATTATCAGGATATCGGTCTTCGAGAGTATCATGGCTTTCTATCGTGCTCTTAAGCTCTCCTTGTATATGTTATTTTGCTTTTTTATGATAATTGTCGAAAGGGTGCAATTATGCCTCTGAAATATGATATTCACGTATCGTAAGGCCATTACCGGCTATTAGAAGGTCTATAGTGGTTTCTCCTTTATATTTATTTGGATTTTTTTCTAACTAAATCCTCTACTTCCAGTTTGACGGTTGTTTCATCCCTCCTTGAGAAGTATGGGATTGATGCTAAACAAATTGGTCGTCTAGAAGTAGGCAGTGAGACTGTCATTGACAAGAGCAAATCCATCAAGACTTTCCTCATGCAAATTTTTGAGGTATTTTTCTGTGCTTATTTTTAGTTCCCTAACTGTATGTTCTTGTGGAGGCACATGGTCCCATCAGCTTTGAAAGTAAAATAATAAAGAAATCTGATTGTAGAACACCACATTGCTCTTAATATTTTAGAACTGTTTCTTTTGTCACTTTTCTGCTCTCGCATTTGAGTTGCTCAATAAGTCCCATTTTATGGCTTCAGATGCTCATGTTTAGTGTTGCTGGTAAATAAGCAGGCTTGCGGTAATACTGACATTGAAGGTGTCGATTCAACTAATGCTTGCTATGGAGGGACAGCAGCTTTATTAAACTGTGTGAACTGGGTGGAGAGTGCTTCGTGGGATGGTCGCTATGGTCTTGTTGTATGCACAGACAGTGCGGTACGTTAATCTTTTCCTAACGTCTTCCAATATTTTTATATTTGCTGTTGTGACTGCCTAAAATGGAGAATGGAATGCTTCCAGGATATCCTCTTGAATGGAGTAGCTGATGCTTTTAATTTAGAAATTTGGTGTTCTTTAATTCCTTATCTCTGAAGACTTGATATTGAATATCCATAAGATAACTGCAGTGAAAAATTGGAAACTTTCTACACTACTATTCTTATTGTAATACTACCACTTAGAAGGAATATATTGTTTACTATAAGTTCTGTTTTATTCTCTTTTCTAACTGTTGCTTCTCTTTCTCAGGTTTATGCGGAAGGACCAGCTCGCCCTACTGGAGGAGCAGCTGCTATTGCTCTGCTTATTGGGCCTGATGCTCCTATTGTTTTTGAAAGCAAATTCCGGGGGAGTCACATGTCTCATGTCTATGACTTTTACAAGCCCAATCTTGCTAGTGAATATCCCGTAAGTCTTCCTAAATGTCCTCTTCATGATGTTTGACAATTTTCTGATTCTAGAGTTCTAGACATTGATGTCCAGTTCCCTAATATCAGTGCACTTGGTAGATCGAGCATAATAGACATAGTTTCAGAACATATCACGGAAAGGAAGTTCCCACTTGTCACAGTTCCTAAATTATGTACCCATCTTCCACTTTTACAACTGGGTGCCTTTTGATTGTAGCATCTGACTACTTCACTGCCATAGGGTTCCAGAATTACACCGCATACATCTGTTAAAGAAGATAGCGAACATTCTTCAGAAAGCTAATATGCTTTGTTCTGCTGAGCTCAATACATTCTCCACTTTCTGAAAGTTTGTAAAAGAAAGAGTTTTCAACTGATCATAACTCTTATACTTTGTAATACTGCTGTGTATAGATACACGGAAAAATTCCACTTTTCGTCCTGTGCTTTCATGCTTGTTCTAATTAAGTCCCTATACTTCTAGATTAGACAATTTGTGCTAGTGGAAGGACTTGTTTAGAAAAATTAAAAGTACATAGACTTGGTTGGAGAAAACGTGAAAGTACAAGGACGAAAAGTTTTATTTTTCTAAATAGAAATGTTTGCTATATATTCCGTATGTACCAAGAAATTTCTTACTTTCTCTTTCGGTTAAGGTCTTTATTCTCAAATTATAGGAGGATTTCATGGAAAGCGACTGATGTTTGCTTGCATTCATTGCTTGAAATCCCTTTGCAGGTTGTTGATGGGAAGCTATCTCAAACATGTTATTTGATGGCTCTTGATTCCTGCTACAAGCATTTCTGTCACAAGTGAGTTGAAATTTGTAAATATGAGTATATGAACATGTCAATCATCTTTGGAATTTGAGTTTTTGCTTAACTTTCCCTTATCCTGCTGTTTGCTTTCACAGATATGAGAAATTTGAGGGGAAACAGTTTTCTCTATCTGATGCTGACTACATTGTGTTTCACTCCCCATACAACAAGGTCCGCTACTATTATGACCTGTACAGATAATGATTTATCTTTTATTGCTTTTACTTAACTTTTACTTTCAATATTGCAGCTTGTGCAGAAAAGTTTTGCCCGTTTAATGTTCAATGACTTCTTGAGAAATGCCAGGTTTTATTCTTCACATCCTGTACTACTTCTGCAGTTCAGTAAAATGACACTGTTGGACTCTGTGATTGATTTAGGCTCTTATTTGCAGCTCCGTGGATGAGGCTGCCAAGGAAAAGTTGGCGCCATTTTCAAGCTTATCTGGCGATGAAAGCTACCAAAGCCGAGATCTAGAGAAGGTATATTAGGAAACTATCTTCTTGTTTGAAGCTAGAGTGTAGAACTTGTTGATGGATGATAACTTTATGATGCCATTGATATGCAGGCATCCCAGCAAGTTGCCAAGCCCTTGTACGATGCGATGGTGCAACCAACCACTTTGATACCAAAGCAAGTTGGAAACATGTACACTGCATCTCTGTATGCAGCATTTGCTTCTCTGATTCACAATAAGCACAGCTCACTGGTAATTTTCTGTCATATTTCTATTCTTAATTTCATAATATAGGTCATGTGACTGTTCTGAAGACAAACGAATTTCGGCAGGGTGGCAACCGGGTGATAATGTTCTCCTATGGAAGTGGTTTGAGCGCCACGATGTTCTCATTGAAATTTAATGATGGGAAGCATCCATTCAGCTTGTCAAACATTGCTGCTATTATGAATGTTGACAAGAGGCTGAAGTCCAGGCATGAGGTAATTTTAGTGCTTTCTCATACTCGTTTCTGTATGCATTGAGTATCGTCATGCCTTTTATTATAAGTACCAATTATACTCCTTAGGCTGCTGTCCTTTAACTACATCGAGTAGCATTTGCATCATTTAACAACACGAGCACCAGCTCTACTAGCTGCTAGATACACTAAAGAACTTCTCTTCTTGCGTGTTTGAATGTGCACGTGATGTGCCTAATTGCCATCGAAACCAATGCACAATTTTCTCCTTAAGAAGAGATTGCTTCGACCTTCTCATGTGTATCATAAACCTGTATCTTCTTCTTGTATTACCAGCTGAATTGGGAACATGCATTGACAAAAGATCCATTATAATCTTTGCTGTTAAAATAACCCTTGTCTAGGAAGGAAAGTTGCTTACTATTTGTACCCCGTTGACGACCACATTTGAACACAACTTGCGTTTCTTGCAGTTCCCACCAGAGAAATTTGTCGAAACGATGAAGCTTATGGAGCACAGATACGGCGCTAAGGACTTTGTGACGAGCAAGGACTGTAGCCTATTGGCCCCAGGTACATACTACCTCACCGAAGTCGACTCCATGTACCGGAGGTTCTACGCCAAGAAAGCCAAGGACAGCCACTGCAAGAACGGTGCAGTCGCCAATGGTCACTGAAGCGAACGCCAGTACATCAGTGGCATCCGCACGTGAAGTTGGCTCGTGTGATTTTAGACGATTGTTGGAAACGGCACTAAGAAGAATTACTGTGCGTTCATAAGTTTGTACCTAAGCACAAATAATTTGATCAAGATCAAGTCTTCTCTTTCTTTACCTAATGATTAGCCTTCAATAAAAGTACCTATTGAAGTCCCCCCTTGCTCTTTCCTATACGCTTTGTTGCTACAAGGATCATCTAGCAATTAGAAGTATCGCCAAGAACAACCAACAAGTCGCGCACAACGGATTGGTAGATACGTTTTGCAAGTTCGAGTCGGTTCCTTCGACAAGGTAGCTCTAGCCGTTTGGTACGACTAAGTGAAGGGGGGGGGGGGGGGTTTGTAAATTCGGCGGAACCAGAGAACACATACGAGCTGGCCGATGCTATTGCTACATTGGAGGGTAGTGAATTCTCTTGCATACGCGAGACCCCCCTACGCAACGAGCACGGCTAATGCGCAACTCGACCGGCGTACCATCTAAAGGACCGTGACTTAAACAGCAAGATGACAGCAATCAACAAATTGAATGAGGGGCTACAAGGGCTGCTGCAGTTAATCAGAGACTTAGGCGCGTCCTCGTGGTCCCAAGTGAGAGCCCCACTCTCTCTACCGTCCAAGAACCAAACCCATTACATTAGATTGCAGGACTCGCGTGAGTTTCACTCTAATTATGCAATCAGATTATCTTAGTAGCCTCTAATCGAAGCTACAAGTTGATACCCGCATGATAATTGCGATTCCCAATCCAAATTTATGAGTTCAAAAACATGCCAATTTGACCCACGAACTCCGTGGACTATTGACCAATAAGAAGACCAATCAATCACTCCACCCAACCCAACCAAAACCCCGACCTCTCAAGGAAAGAGACCAAAGTGCGAGATGGCTCGATCCAATTATTTAATTTGATTATCAACCCCCACAATAAAAAAAAATAAATAATGAAAAAACTCGCTCCGGAATATGCGACGGTCCTAAATTTGTTATTTTCACTTAATAATTTTTTTTTCTAATTCTCGCTGGTCTTCCAGGTGGTGCCGGGACCACAAAATGGTGAGGTGGTCTCAACCAATACAAACCCCACTTTACTTGGGGCCCACAAAAAGATTAAATTTTTTTTTCCCTCCCCCTCCCCGGATCTCGGCCCCCACCACCACTCTACTCTCCTCCTATTGGTGGAGACTCGGAGACCACCTGTCCCCTCTCCCCCTCGGTGGTCCACTTGTGATTGGGACCCGTGATCAAGGCCCCACCCCCACCCCCCAAACCCCGATAGAGAAAAAAATGAAGGTAGGGGCCCCACCGCGCGTCATCCCCTATCGGGATCCCCACCGTCCCCCCAAAAACAAAGATCATCATCAACGCACTCGATCGCAACCCACCCGCCCCCCATATTAAGCAACGGTGCGCGTGCGGATTGTGGATGGGGGAGGGAGTTAGTAACGATATTTCACTTGCAAAATTCTCTCCTCTTTCTCTCCCTCTCTCTACTCTACTGCTAGGGCTTCCATTTTGTTAAAACGACGTTTTTTTTTTATATATATTTATTCCGTCTTTCCTCCTTCCTCGTTCTGTTCCATTGTGCTTCTTCCTTGAACCTGCCCGGGCTTTTTCCCCAGAAGGTACTCGCCTCACTCGCCTTAACGTGTCTCTCGGGCTTCTCCCGAAATCTTTTACGACGTGAGACGAGAAGAAGGGAAAACACACCACCCTTTCGGCGTTACTTCTTGTGTTCTTTTTGTTCGGCCCGAAATGGCGTCGTTTCAGCAGCAGCAGGAGCCGGACCCGGACGACCACGGGGGCGCGTCCGATCTCAGCACCAGCGCCGGCGACCCCGAAGACGGCCCCTACGCCGACGCCGACGCCTCGCCGGCCCGCGACCTGGCGACCCCGTTCCAGGCCATCCCGCTCAAGGACGAGCCGGTGGAGTCCGACCCGGAGCAAGCTGCCCGTCCGGCCCGTCCCGGCCCGCACGGGCTGGTCCCCGTGGCGATGCAGGTCCAGCCAATGCCCATACCCATGCCCCTGTCCAGCGCCGTAGCCGCCCGGCGCTCCTCCTCCTCCTCCTACCAAGGACCGCCACACCAAGGTGGAGGGCCGCGGCCGGAGGATCCGGATACCCGCCACCTGCGCCGCCAGGATCTTCCAGCTAACCCGGGAGCTCGGCCACAAGTCCGACGGCGAGACCGTGCGGTGGCTCCTCGAGCACGCCGAGCACGCCATCATCGAAGCCACGGGGACCGGGACTGTCCCTGCCATCGCGGTGTCCGTCGGGGGGACCCTCAAAATCCCCTCCACGCCGAGCAATAACAGCGACAGCAACACAACGACCACTGCCCCCAAGCGTAAGCGTCCGTCAAACAGTGAGTTCTGCGACGCGGGCGATGCCGTGATCACGCAGTCGTCGGGCCTCGCCGCCGCGGCTCCACAGCCCCAGGGGCTGGTGCCGGTGTGGACGGTTGGGAACGCCGGCTTGATGGTCCCCACGAACGCCTTCTGGATGATCCAGCCACCGCAGGCTGCAGCGGCGGCTCCGGTGGCGGCGGTGGCCGCCGGGCCTTCGGTGGCTCAGCAGGCGCAGATATGGACGCTTTCGCCGGCGGTGACCCCGGTGTTCAACGTGGCGGCCGCGACTGCGCGGCCGGTGTCGTCGCTCGTCGCGGCAGGAGGGAATATTCCTTCGGGGATCGAGATAAGGGGGCCATCGCCGGGAATATGCGGCGGATTGACGAACTCGGCAGCGAGCAACAGCATGGTCGGGGCTAAGGCGGCGAAGAAGTCGACGATGGCGCCGAGCCTGAGCTCCGCGGGCGGCGGCGGCGGCGGCGGCGGCGGCGGGAGGGGGAAGGCGCAGATGTTGAGGGACTTCTCGTTGGAGATATACGATAAGCAGGAGCTGCAGTTCATGGCGTCTGGAAGCAGCGCTCGTGCTCGTGCGCAACCCCAAGCCTCCAAGCCTTGAGGAAAGAGTTCTAAAATTGTGACTGACAAAAACAAAAATAAGAGCTTCTTTTTTCAGAAAAAAAAAATTATGAGAGCAGCCGAATTAGGAAAAAAAAAAGTTTGGTTTTTGGAATTTTAGGTGATCGAGGTTTTCTCTTCTTCTTTTTTTTCTAATTTTTATTTTGACTCTGTACTTCGAATTGACGAGTCGTGGATGAAATTGTAACTCATATCCTCCCGTAGACTATTTTAGTTAGTAATGGATCGCTTAATCCATACGCTCTCGAAACATTCCATTTTTTTCTGATAATTTCGCACAATTATAACAATTTTTTTTTGGCTTTTTTTAACATAATGCAAGCTCTACAGCTCTTGCGATATGATTTGAAGCTAAACACCCGATGCACTATGCACAATAAGATGCAACGTTGATTTTGATTAGGAGGAATATTTCGTGCCGGACCATGAATTTCATATGATTGTGGCTTTGCATTAGCTCATCATACCACTCATAAAAAGCCTGCGACTGGCCAATAAAATCACGTAATACATCTCACACATTTCTTTTATTCTTTCTTGGGGTGTATAATGGGCTAACATAACCATGAAAATTCCATGTGTAAATATTGCCATCTCGTGATATATCTCTTTTTTAATCTATGAAAATACTAAGAACAAAACTCATAGTTATATCCACGAGAGTGGCTCTCGCGATAACTCTTGGCACGTGCGGTGTTCCCGATTCTTGTTTCCTTGGCAGAAGCTATATTTTAAGTGAACTTTCCGCTTGGATCATGCTTGGTACTTAAACTAAATGAACGGGGAACTCTGATACGAATCGAACTCATAAACCTTTTTGTACAACCTATTTTATTTCGTGATTGTGTGAATCTCCGGTGCTCGCTTGGTGTAAGGGGTGACAGTCTCTAACTCGACGCCATAACATGATTCGATACCCACATGACCGCCGTCAGCTAGTCTGGATTGAGGTTAATTGTGTCAATGTCAATTTCATATCAATCCGCGAGATGTGGTTAATTATTGTATCCTGTTCATGTTCAACTTACTAGACACGAAATCAACCCGTATAACCTGTTTAAATAAATATTGACACCATTTGCATGTGACCCGTTTAGACACCCAATCAGCTTAAAGACCATCTTTCCATGTTATTCACTATTAAGATTTCAAATTGATGATTTGATTTTGTTAATGTATTTCTAAAATCTGTAAATTGGTTTTTATGAAAATTAAGGATATTTCGAGCCAGGTTAATGTTGGCGGGTCGATTTCATATTGGCGGATCGATTTCATGCCATAGCGTATCATGCATTCGCGGTGACCCGTCCAGCCGTTACTTCAATTGCATTACACGATAGGGGTGAGCGGTTCCAAGTTCCACTGGAAACTTGAAATCTACCTGTCAAAACATGTTCCTCATTTTGTGGAACCTGAAACTTATCTTGCATACCCCGGAATCTATCTTGTCACAGATTCCAAGGTTTACCTAGATTCCGCCTATATTCATAATTGAATGAATGTAGTGAATCATCACTTCTAATGACCATCATTTGCAATTACAATCCACCGACCCCAACTTATATTTAGACACACGAAGAAGACAAAACGTTAACAAAGTAAAAAGTCTATACCATTGATATCGCCGGAAATGAAAACCAAGACTAGTGGTTCTATAGTAGACACTCGTCATAGGACACCATAAAACACTGCAGGATTGCGTGAAGACACAGAACAAGAAAAATACAAAGACTTGTTCTAGGTTCCAGGTTTTAAGTCCGGAACCTATAACTTGAAACTTACCTGTTTCCTACCTTGGAATTTGAAACCCACCCAGCAACACCTGAAATCTAGAACCGGTCTAGTTCCCAATTCTACCCTGAAAGTCATGCTCACCCCTATTACACGGGACGCGTAGGGGTCAGCTTATTGTTTTTCGACCCGCGTTTACGTCGAGTGGGTCGACACAATATAACCCCATCGTGTTCTGATCGGATTGCGCTATATACCAAAAGATCCTACCCTATCGAGACACGACACGAACACGGACCGTCAAACCCAAGTTGGCGTGCACGAACCTGATCAGTCAAAAGCGGATCGTGTGGATTTACTTTGACGAGCTTTTGGGTTTTGTTGGAGGAGACTTATAAAAGGGCCCATTATTAACCCAACAAAAAAGAGAAAACTCAA